ATACAGGCTGTGTCTACATTGGCATCCCTTTCTGGAAAAGGGATGCTAATGAGACACATTGCAATTGCAAATTCCGCAGGGGATTTAAGTATCCCCCGCAGCATTTGCATTTACATGGCTGCCGCTTTTTTCCGGCTTGTAGATAAGCCGGAGAAAAGCGCCAGTCTGGACGCGATCCTCCGGAAAATAAGCTCTTTTCCAGAGGATCTCTTATTCCTACTTGAAATAGGAATAAGAGATCCTCCGGAAAAGGGCTTATTTTCCAGAGAATCACATCTAGACTGGCGCTTTTCTCCAGCTTATCTCCAAGCCGGAAAAAAGCGCCAGCCATGTAAATGCCGTGGGGGATATTTAAATCCCCCGCGGAATTTGCAATTGCGATGTGTCTCATTAGCATCCCTTTTCCGGAAAGGGATGCCAATGTAGACACAGCCACAGCATTATAGAGCTTACATCAACAGCAACTTTTTTGTTTTTAAAATCATTTAGAATTTCTAGGTAAGCTCCAAACAGTTATTCTTTAGAGTAGACCAGATTTTGGGTCAAAAATATTTGCTAGTGTGTCTTTAAATTAAATGTACATTATCTGAATTTTCAGCTCAAAAGGCTAAATATAAAATCAAATATCTTTATTTAAAGTCAGAAAGCCAATTTAAAGAGGCAACAAAACTAGGACTCCAAATTTGTAGGAAGTGCGAGGAGATGGCTGAATATGGTGGTTATGCCCCACATTTTAATGCTTCTCTACCAAGCAGGTGATCCCAGATAGTATGTTAAAGAGATGTTGTAATCTTATAGTTTAACTTGGAGCATCAGAATGTAGTGAGTGAACTACAGCTGTGCTTTGGAGTAAGCAGCAGAGTGAGAAGAGGTAGAAAGTCTGGGCTCCTGTTATAATGTCTTTGGACTTCAGCCAAGAGAAGTCTGTTTTCCTTGCCTTTGTAATTAGAAGCTGAGTTCAGAGCCAGGCTACTGGCAGTATCTATTTCTGGGAAGTCCCTTAATAAATCTTAGCAAGAAACATTTAACCTCACATTACAATACAAGCTTTGGGCACAAATTGTTCTGTCTCCTTGCCAGACATTTCACCCCTTCCTTCCACCCTGGCACGTCTAGCACATAAGATATAAACCTTCAGTACTCACAGGTGGTTACTTAATGTGTTTGCTTAATTGACAGTTTAAAAATTGTTTCTAGACTTGCTCTCTGAATACTACAGAGAGGGATAGAAAATGACCCAAGCTTTTTGCATGCAGACTTAGGCCACAGAAGATGTCAGCAATCAGTCTTTTGGGGCAACACAGAACTTTGGTCAAGCTGGTCCTAGAGCTCTTTTAATTCATGCAAGATAACTAAGTAGGCAAAGTAACACCAGATGTTTACTACTGGAAAGGAGTAGCCCTTAACAGGAAGACTGGTCCTCTGTTGACAGTAAGGTCAAACTGCAAACTCAACCTATAGGTAAAGTGGTAAGACTAGTCGAGGTGGGTTTACACATGAAGCTTTGCTTCAGCAAATGGTATTTCATTCCTATTATGCAGGCAACGCTGATAGGTTCCACCACTGAATGTCAACAGCTGACACGTCATTTTCTTCCTTGAAAAAAATAATCAGGGGCCAGGTGTAATATTATTCTGTCTACACCCTACTGACCATTAAATAACTAGATCTAGTTGAAGATCTGCTCTGACAATGTTGAAGGCAAGCCAGCATATATTTCCTTTCTTGCTTTATGTAGCTGAACCTATACACAATTTCCCAACTGAGGATTAAATTTGTGTTGGCATGTTTTATTTCAAGTATTTAATTCAGAAACAAGCTCACAGCCAATTGTAAGAGTTGGACTCTGAGGGGACTGCATTTTGAAACTGCTCTCAAACATGCAATACTAAAATTAAAATGTGTTTTATATATTGCAACATCAGGTATTTCATATTCAGGAATAAAAAGATGAAGACAACACTGCAATGTATTTGAATGAATGTCTATAAAGCATCCCTTGTTTAAGATCCCACAGCAATTCAGGAGCTAAGTCGCTGCAGTAAGAGTCCTGAGACAAGCAGCCAGGTGCCATTGAGGTGTTGGGTTGACTGCGCCAGAAGTGACAGAACAACAAGTTTGGATGTCAGCTGTCCGTGTAGATAAACAGGATATCCTCATCTGTGCCATAACTTGTCCTGGCTTCCTCAAAATTACTGATGCTGGTGCTGCATGTTCCTGTGGGGCAGTAACAGAGTGTTAGTCAAGTTGAGCCAGCAGAAGAATTTGCTCATGAACAGCTCATAGGCAGACTCTGGGTAACCAGAATTAGATTTCATTGGCTTGATCTTACAGTCCTTACCTGTAAGAGTAGTCCTTTTAATGTCAAGGGGAGTGCTTATTTGCTTAACAACAGCAGAAATGGGCAGTGTAATGTATAATTCCACACTATGGTCTGTCTTCAAGATACCAAACAGATTTATAATTTAGCTCTCCTGAACTGTGTTCCTCTTAATAGTCATAAGGCTTCTGCAGCAAGAGGTATGGAGGCCATAGGACCTGTTAGAACAGGGGCAGGCAAGATACAGCCCACAAGCTGGACCTGAGTTGCCAAGCCTTTTGACTGCTGTTTGCCCCACTGGGACATTCAGACAGGGAGCAACCCCGAGCTACTCAAAGTGCTAGCTGCTTCATCCATCTCTCTGTGCTGCATGTGGGATTGGGAGGACAAAGGGGCTTCATGTACTGCCCCTACCTCAGCAAAATTTCTCAGCTCCCATTGGCTGGTTGTGCTGGGGGCAGGGGCAGCACACAAAGTCTCCCCCTCTCCAGTGTAGGGCACAGAGAGGCACATAGAGCAGCCCAACACTTTTGAGTATCTAGGTCTGTGGCAGGCAGGGAGCCTGCCTGAGAATCCTAATGGGCTGCTGGCCAGGAGCTGCCTAGCTAAGTGTCTCTTGGCCAGAGCTTGCCTCTGGCACCCCACTCCCTCCTCATCCAAGATCCCTGCCCCAGATCACTACCCAAACACCTTTGTACACATCTTTACCTTGCCTCAGGTCATAACTCCTTCCCAGACCCTGTACCCTCTCATATACCCATTCCTACAGGCCAGAATCCTCTCCTGTACCTGTACCTCCTCCCGGATCTGGCACCCTAATCCCCTATCCCGAGCTCTCTTCTGCACTCAACCTCCATCCCAGATCCCGTGCCCCTTCCACAGAAAAGTACTGCCCATGACCATTTACTGAAAGATTACTGACCACCTCTATATCCGAATGTATTTCCAATGATTCATCTGAATCACAGCACAGAAAAGAATGAAATCACTGAATATAGTAAGAACAAGCATGAGCCAATCAGCTGGTGCTGCCTGACTTAGTTGGCTGGTATCTGGGAAACTCCATCTGGTTGTGCACTATGCACATTAGTAACAAGGAGATGGATAATCCATACAGAATGAAGCAAGGTTCAGTTACTCACGATCTGCATAGGCAGGGTTGTTGTAGTAGACACTCCCTGAAGCTTTGTTATAGCCACATAGCACAATGAAATGGCCCTGGTAGTCAGGATTCCTGCAGAAGCACTTCTGGCCAATAGGGAGGAAGCAGCAATATTTGACAGGACTTGAGCAAAGTTCACACAATAACAAGACTGCATTCACCAGGACAATGGCTATATGACCTTGGGACAGGTGTTCCTGAATGTCCTGCATAGTCACTGTGCTGTAGAAGAAAATTCAGACAGTCAAAGAAACCCAGGAAAGACATCTGTATTTACTGGAATGAGCTCACCCAACGAACTGAGAGAGGCTGCTATCCATCTCTTATGTGACAGTTATGATTATATTACATATCTTTGTTGATGAGAGGATCCCTGCAGCAGTGGAGATAATTGTTCCATCCAAATTTATTTATACCTTCACTGCCAGTGAAGAGCAGAGGCATGCTGGCTAAAGTTCTACAGAGCATGCATTAAAATGAATGGAATCTCAAGATGTTTGAGAGGCATGTGGGGCAACAGCATGTTTACAGAAGTATCTGATAACTATTCCATCCTTGAGAGATTAATTTTATGTATGGAGCAATCAGAGATGCTGTAGAATCCCATCCCTCCCACCCAAAAGCCCAAAAGTCTCTGAAGAACCAAGTCTTCCTCAGCTGGGGCATTGGATAGCACAAGATCCCCTATCATCCTGGTCTCTATATCCCCTAAGAATACAGATTCCCAGTTATAAAGTTGCATTGTTTGGCTCTGTATTCTTGCCAGGATTATTGCTCTAATATTTTATTGTGTCCAATTTGAGCACGAAAATCACCCATGTGACAATCTCATTTGTTTGAACTGAGGCACCCATGCGATAATCTCATTTGTTTGAACTGAGGCTCCTCATTCAGAGAGACAGACAGATGGTGTGTTCCGTACCAGTCTGCACTCATCCCCTGGATCAGATCCAAACATTCAGCCTGCATACCTCTTTTCCTTCCCTGATGTAAGCCAGATACTAAAGCTCTGTTACTGTGCCAGATATGGCCTAGATTTTTTTATGCCATTACCACCTCCTCTTCCCATGTCACATCAGTGGGTGTATGGGTACTGCCATGCAAATTCTGAATACATTAACTGGACACTAATGATCCTTGCAAATGCAAGTTTTAAAAGCACAATAAGGTCATTGTTTCCAAGCATAAATAGTACCTTCCCTTTCTTCTCTTGCTAGCACTCATCCAGCCTAGTAAACACACAGAGTCAAATGCTGCGCTGGTGGAAGTGGATGCAACTCCTGACTTCTGTTTATACTCTTATATGGATATATACCTATTTCATAGAACTGGAAGATGTGTCATCAAGTCCACCCCCCTGCCCTCACAGCAGGACCAAGTACCATCCCTGACAGATTTGCCCCAGATTCCTAAATGGCTCCCTCAAGGATTGAACTCGCAACCCTGGGTTTAGAAAACCAATGCTCAAACCACTGAGCTATCCCTCCCCCTTATATAGTCAGATACAGTGTGACAGAGTCTTTTCTCTTCTTCAGAATTTCACTGTCAGCACTAGGGTTTTAAGATGTATGTCTATGCTTCTTCTCTCTCCCATGTATGTGTGTCTATTGGGGTAGTTCCTTCTCCTATGAAGTCGTCCTTCATTTGGCAAATACTGTAATTTACAGGATTTCCAACAGAGCAAAAGCACACATGTCTGATTTTGGTTTATTTCTCCGGGAAGTGCTACACTATGGAGAAAAGCTAATCTAAGCTACACAATTTGAGTTACATTAATAGTGCAACACAAGTTGATGTAACTTAGATTAACTTACTACAGGATCCACAATGTGCTGAGTTGATGGGAGAAACCCTCCCATCATCTCCCCTTACTCTTCTCATTCCAGTGGAATACCTGAGTCAATTAGGAGAGGGATTGGTGGATTTTTAGTGCAAGAGTTTCAAACTCAATTCACCTTATGGCCAATGCCAGTTCCCAAATCCTCCTAGTGGACAACAGGCACCCTCTCTGGCAGGGCTCAGGAAGGGAGTGGGGGGTGTCTCCATACATTCCCCCACACCATGTGTCTCTTGGCCATGATTACTAGCCCTCACAATTTCCCCCTCCCTCATGCATCCCCATCCCCTCCTGCCAACCCTGGGTGATTTAAACTCCGCTGGGGGTGTCCCAGCCACATCACCTGTAGCACAGCAGGGCTGCAGTGACTTCTGGCTGCTAGCTCTGAGCCACAGCTGGGACATCCGTCTGGCTGGGGGAGGTGTGAGCCGAGTCATCCGGTCTAGAGGATGGCTCAGTGCGGCCACCCTAATCCCCACACTTTGGGCAGCCCTGCGGCAGCTGACCCAACCATCCTATAGATGGGATGGTCCTCAAGTTAGCCTTTGCGGCCCTTGGCAGAGGGGTCCGGGAGCAGCAGTTGCCCCCACAATTTCTGTACTCAGCTCAGCAGCAGGAGCTGCAGAAAGGCAGAGCTATATAACCGCCTATTGTGCTCCACTGCCATCTCCCATCCCATTACAGTCAAGCATGCCTGTTCGTGGGATGGGGCGCTCCACTTTCTGCCACTGTGGTGAATCAAAAGGACAGGGCTGTCCTAGGAGATGGAAGTGGAGTAGAACAGAGGCTGATGTGTTATTCTGCTTCCTCACAGCTCCCACTGCCACAGTGAGTGCGGGGGGACACGACCCCTGCTGCTGCCCCACATTAAGCTGTATTAGGGATGTAAAGGCCCATTCAGAAAGTTAACCAATTAAATGATATGGTTAACCAGTTAATTGGTATCCCACACTAGGACAGATCCGGACAGTCCTGGAATGCTCCCTACCCGCCCATGGTGCGGCAGGCCTCACCAGTCTGCTGTGGTCAGACTGCAGCATCAGTCCCACCAGTGGAGGAGATAAATCTAAATACAGACCACAGCAGTGTTAGCACAGCTCTGGAACAATCGATTTTTATCTCAGCAACATTCGCTTCAGCTCTGATGGCAACTTTATTTAATAAAAGCTCATTACAAAATAGAGGACATTCCCTACTGGTTTATCTTAACGGAAGACTATATTTTAGGCCTTAGTTTCCAATCCAAATCCTGCTTTTCAACTTTTAGGGCTCCACTCTTCTGCTCTTCTTCTCAGCCACCATTTTGCTACCTCCCTCTGTCTCAGCAGGAGAGGGCAGGATCCAGTGAAAAGACAGTGAGGGAACTGAAGAGGAGGTTGAGCCTGACTTTATCAGCACGGTCAAAAATAATGAAGTTACCCATCTCTGAAAGAATGGTGCCCCTAACATTTACAATGGGAAAAAGAGGTGAAATGATAAGCTCACCACTTTTCTACCAGCACCTTGCTGGCTTTGGCTTGTGCGAACAGCTGATTCACTCTGTTCTCTTCAGTGTCAAAGTGTTTCCTGTAGAATGACTGAGGGAAAAAGAATAATTTATGAATCATTAATCAGAATGGAGATTCATTTTACCTAAATGAATTTCAATTAAAAACCAGTTAGAGTGGGACTGGATGGGTAGAAGATTGATAATGGGTTACGGTTCAATTCTCCCTCAGGTCACTAGAAACAGAGTGAGAACCTCTCCTGTAGGTCATCAGTTCACATTCAGCCCATGTCAGCAGTTACTATTTGATGGCTATTTAGCTGCCTATGTGAAATAAATCGGGTAGTTATCAATCAAGTTCCTAGACTGCAGACCTCCACGTAAGAAAAACCATAACCACTACTGGAACGAACTGGCCCTTTTGTTGGCAATATCAACAGAGGCCAAAGATTGAATGGACATGGAGACTGAATTCCCCTCTCACCTCTAGAGGTGGTTCCTCCTGGTCAGGACTGAGGCACGTTGGCAGGGGAAGTGTAGTGGAAGCTAGCACTGCTGCTGCCCAGGCTGTACCTGTTCTGTAGATAAATAGAGGGCTTCAGTCTCCAAGGCTGTTAAGTAGGCTGGAACCTTTCATGAACACTGAATTCGTACTATTTTTTTAAAACATGTATCATGGAATCAGAGCTGGAAAATATCTGGGACTACATCTAACCTGGATTTGGAATTGTTTTGTGGACAGTTTGGCAATAGGCAAACCTTGCTTACAGGATCAGTGGCTTAACCACATTAGTAACAGCACTTCACCAATTGCCCTGATGGGATAGTTATTAAAAGTGAAAAGACATTTCTTAGTGAAAAGATACTTACCTGATTTTTGTAGCCCTTGTCCACTCCAAGTGTCTGTGTGCAGAACCTATGCTTTACACCGAAGTGCCGCATTAGGTAGGCCAAGTCAATGGTCCAGATACTTTTTGTTAACCGGAGATCCCGGATGGCTTTCTGAAATTCCTCATCATTCAAACGATTCAGGTACCTGGGGTATTAGAGGAAGTGAAAAAGCAAAGATATTAGGAGAAAGTGTGCCTACCAGTACAAAACCTCTTAAATATTACAAAAAGGAAAACCTGAAACAATGGATTTGGTTGAGAAAACAACCAAAATACAACCCACAAATTCCAAAGCACGAGAAATGGGGCAGGGACCATTTCAATGGATTTATCACAGGTGACTGTTTCCCTTTTGGAAATTTAGTACTGTCTTAATTGTTTTACAGTGCCAAAGTGAGCAGGACACTGTACTAGAGGTGAGCTGAGCTAATAATGAGGCACTAGCCTGAAGAGGTTGCAATCTAAGAACACAAATGCAACAGAGCAAATATAAGAAGGGATATGGCAACTATAGCTGGGTTGATTCATGGAACAGGTAGGTTTCAGAAGGAGTTTTTTGAAGGAGGAAAGGAACTTGATTAAATATTGAAAGAATGGTTGCCTCAGGCATTGAGGGCGGTGTGAATAAAAACAGTTGAGAGGCTTGGGTAAAGGCAATGTGGGAGAGCAGAGATTTATTCAGAGGCAAAGTTATGGTGCTTTGGAAGTGAGAAAACAAAATGCAGAAAAGAAGAAAACCATTGGAATTCAAGAGGAAAAGACACAAGGTCAGATCAGCAGGGTAGGCATATCTATCTTGGCAACTGAGGTTTCGAATGAGGTGGAAAGGAAAAGAGGTGAGGGGAACAGAGAGGCTAGAGGCAGAGGTTACAGTAGTCAAGATGGGAAATTACCAGCATACGGACTAACGTCTTGGCAGAAGGGATGGAGAGAAATGAAAATCTTCTGCTTCATATCTACTAAGTGGACATCTAAATAGATATTTCACTCTCCTGCACCTAAGCTCGTGTTCTGTGGAAGGAAAGACTAGTTCAGCAGAACAACTAGCAGGATAAAAAAAATGGGCAACAGAGAATAGCTTTGAAACTCATATATTCCTGGAATGGAAAACATTTACCCCACAGAACAGGTGCCCAACAGGACAATGGCAAGATGCTGATTCCTATAAATACAGAAGAAACCTGATAGTCATTTGAAGACAGAGAAAGGAATTCAAGTGAATTGTTGTGATAAGTACAGTTCCAATAAGAAGCAGAACACTCTACAGTATTAGACAAAACACGCTAATCTGCAAGGATAACATTGTTGGGTTAAACATGCTAATCTGCAAAATTCTTAAAATTAATCAGATATTTTGTTCATAGTAAGAAACTTGTTTATTATCCTTCATCTGTGTTTTCTTTTCCTCCGGCTGGAATTCGGGTGCTATGCCCAGCAAGGCACCAGTAATTCTTATGGGGGCAATGGGGAAAATATGGTCTGATTAAGTTGTGAGATTAGTCACAGCTATCCCACCCAACATTCCCAATTTTCCATGTCCCAAACCCACCCCTTTGAATCAAAACCAGTTACTTACTGCAGAACCATCCTGGAGCAGGCTAGCCCACAGTCCCAGTGATACAACTGCTGAAGAACTGGCACTTGCAACTGGACATAGTCAGCTGTAGTAAAGATAACACATCATTAGAAGAGCATGAGAGGTAAATTAGAGTAGATGTAGTATACTTAGATTTTCAGAAAGCCTTTGACAAGATCCCTCACTAAAGGCTCTTGTGTAAATTACATGCCATAGGATAAGAGGGAAGGTCCTTTCTTGGATTGAGAACTGGTTAAAAGACAGGAAACAAAGGGTAGGAATAAATGGTAAATTTTCAGAATGGAGAGTGGTGTCCCCCAAGGATCAGTCCTGGGACCAATCCTTTTCAGCTTATGCATAAATGATCTGCAGAAAGGGGTAAGCAGTGAGATGGTAAAGTTTGCGGATGATACCAAACTGTTTAGGATAGTCAAGACAGAAGCAGACTGTGAGGGACTCCAAAAAGATCTCACCAAACTCAGTGACTGGGCAACAAAATGGCAAATGAAATGTAATGTGGATAAATGTAAAGTAATGCACATCGGGAAAAATAACCCCAACTATACATAGAGTATGATGGGGGCTAATTTGGCTATGACAAGTCAGGAAAGAGATCTTGGAGTTATCGTGGACAGTTCTCTGAAAACTTCCACACAGTGTGCAGTGGCGGTCAAAAAGGCAAATAGGATGCTAGGAATTATTAAGAAAGGGATAGAAAATAAGACCCAGAATATCTTACTGCCCCTGTATAAAACTATGATATGCCTACATCTTGAACACTGTGTACAGATGTAGTCTCCTCACCTCAAAAAGATATTTTGGCCTTGGAAAGGGTTCAGAAAAGGGCAACTAAAATGATTAGGGGTTTGGAAAGGATCCCATATGAAGAGAGGTTAAAGCAACTGAGACTTTTCAGTTTAGAAAAAAGGAGACTGAGGGGGGATATGATAGAGGTATATAAAATCATGAGTGGTGTGGAGAGGGCAGATAAAGAAAAGTTATTTATTAGTTCCCATAATAGAAGAACTAGAGGACACCAAATGAAATTAATGGGTAGCAGGTTTAGAACTAATAAAAGAAAGTTCTTCACACAGCGTGTAGTCAACCTATGGAACTCCTTGCCAGAGGAGGCTGTGAAAGCTAGGACTATAACAGAGTTTAAAGAGAAGCTAAATAATTTCATGGAGGTTAGGTCCATAAAAGGCTATTAGCCAGGGGATAGAAGTAGTGTCCCTGGCCTCTGTTTGTCAGAAGCTGGAGAAGGATGGCAGGAGACAATTCGCTGATCATTGACTTTGGTCCACCCTCTCCGGGGCACCTGGTGCTGGCCAATGTCGGCAGACAGGCTACTGGGCTAGATGGACCTTTGGTCTGACCCAGTACAACCTTTCTTATGTTCTAAATTAGCCCAAATGTGGTATCCTTCCACACATTAGTATTACAAGTCCTCTTGCTACCAACCATACTCAAGTGCTGTACTGGGACACTTGAGAAACACTTGTTATTTTGTTCCATTAGCAGATTATGTTCCTCAGCATAAAATTTAGATTTTTTTTAAAAAAGAGGTACATTTCCAAATTGTTAAAGTAAGTTAACTATTAAGTGTCTGGTTTAATCTGACACTATTTCTCTGTCACAGGTCTGGCCAGTTCTGCAGCAAAGTCATCCTTGTATTCCTTATTAACTGCTTAGTTCTTACTAGGCAGATCCACCTATTCCTGGTCACAACTTCTGTAGGATGATGAAGTGGTAATAAAAACCTAAGATACATGTTGAAGAAGCAATAGGTTTTCATCTTTTATTGTGGTGAGCCTGAAATGGAGTCTCTGGATTTAAACAGATTTTGTAACTGTGGCAATTTTCAGTGCAGTCTAACTCCATCAAAGATGTGCCTAGACGCAGCGTTCATCCAACAATAAAACATACCATGCCACAAGAAAGTATTGAGCCTGTGATCAACAGGAATAATAGGAGGACTTGACTCATTGAGAACACTAAACTGAGCTCCAGTAGGAGAAGTTGAGTTAATGCGATGTCAACTGTGTCTTCAGAGTTAGTGTAAAGACCAGTGTAAAGACAGGAACAAGATGTCTTAAACATGTGAATTAGTTATGGTTATCAGCAACTCCTCAAGGTTGTGTTTTAACTTGATGTAATTTTCTAGGAAAGATATGCTCAAAATGCTTTTGGCAGAAAGAGGCCAACATGGACTTTGGGGTCTCCTTCCACAGCTTCTCAGATTTCTATGTACCCTACACTTTCTCATCTTTTTCCTTGTGGCTTTGAAAACTAGTGTACTTGCCAAGGACATCAAATGTCGTTAGTTAGTCTATGGCTGGCCAGTACACATCAACATGCTAACTCATTATCCTAAAGGAAATGCTAATCCTCAAAGTTCTCTCACATTAGGAATTATGAATCATTTGTTACAAATTTCTGGTGATGGACTATACTAATCTCATTTTCCACTAACCACTTTACCCCCATTAGGTCCCTAAAAGAGAACACATTTTCTTCTATAAAAAATTTCAAACAGTAATAACAAGCCTATTGTGTCAACTAATTTCCTTTGATTTATTGCGTTTCCAGCCATACTGCCTTGTCCTCCACTCCCTTTGCCACACCAACTTCACATTACTTTTCAAGCTCCCTAGATGAGAATGATTACCAGCAGTTTTAGGATAAATGAAGTGACAAAATATGCTCCCCACAATAAACTGAAGAGCAAGTCACCTCCAATTTGATAAATGCTCAGTGTGACAGATCCATGAAATGTAGCCACTAATTTAGGAGACAGCACTACCCTTAGCAACATGGATCTTAGGCAGGTACAATCAGTATCCCTGATCTGACAGACCTGCAAGTACATGGAAGACAGATCCTTGAAGATCTGCCTGTAGCTGGTTAAAGACACCTTGGCTACGTCTACACTGGCGCATTCTCTCACACAAACTCTTTTGCGGAAAAGTTCCTCTGAAAAAGCTCTTCCAGAAGAGAGCATGTACACTGGCATGTGCTTTTGCGCAAGAGCATCCATGCCAGTGTAAACGCTCTCTTGCTCAAGAAAACTCTGATAGCCATTTTAACCATAGGGCTTTCTTGTGCAAGAAATTCATGTTGCCTGTCTACACTGGCCTTTTCTGGAAGAGCTCTTGCACAAGAGGGCTTACTCCTGAGTGGGAGCGTCAGAGTTCTCGCACAAGCCCTGATTTTATACATTAGAACATCAGTTTACTTGCACAAGAACACGTGGCCAGTGTAGACAGGCATCAAAGTTTGCACAGAATGGCTGCTTTTGTGCGAGATCGCATAGTGTAGAGACAGACCATATGTTCCTGGAACAGTGGTATTTTCACACAGTGATAGAGCACTACCATCTTTCCAGAGTGATACAGGATTCTTTTCACTATACATTCAAAAATCCAAAATGTTCTGCTGGAAAATACCTATCTGGTATTTATATACAAGTTCTCACATTGAATCCAGTTCAACATAGGGGCTGCGTCTAGATTGGCATGATTTTCCGGAAATGCTTTTAACGGAAAAGTTTTCTGTTAAAAGCTTTTTTGGAACAAAGCATCTAGATTGGCACAGGCGCTTTTCTGCAAAAGCACTTTGAGTCCGTGCCAATCTAGACGCGCTTTTCCGCAAAAAATCCCCAATCGCCGTTTTTGCGATCGGAGCTTTTTTGTGGGAAAAAAATCTGAGCTGTCTACACTGGCCCTTTTGCGCAAAAGCTTTGTGCAAAAGGGACTTTTGCCTGAATGGGAGCAGAATAATATTTCCGCAAGAAGCACTGATTTCAGACAGTAGGAAGTCAGTGCTTTTGCAGAAATTCAAGCGGCCACTGTAGACAGCTGGCAAATTTTTCCGGAAAAGCGGCTGATTTTCTGGAAAAACTGGCTAAGCTAG